CCACCCCTCCCCACTTCCCTCCCATTACCGCCCTCCCCCTAGTTTTTGTCCATATTAAGTTTGTTCCCATGAACCCTTCCCAATGTCCCCTGAAATTCCCTCTACTCTCCCCTGTGGTCACTGTCAGCCTGTCCTCTATTTCAGTGTCTTTGGTTATATTTTGCTTGTTTCTTTGTTTTGTTGTTTAGGTTCCTGTTAAAGGTGAGATCATATGGTATTTGTCTTTCACTGCCTGGCTTGTTTCGCTTAGCATAATGTTTTCCAGCTCCATCCAAGCTGTTGCGAAGGGTAGGAGCTCCTTCTTTCTTTCTGCTGCATAAAATTCCATTGTGTAAATGTACCAGTTTTTTGATCCATTCATTTACTGATGGGCATCTTGGTTGCTTCCAACACTTGGCTATTGTAAATTGTGCTGCTATGAACTTTGGGATGCATAGGTTCTTTTGGATTGGTGTTTTAGTATTCTTAGGATAGAGTCCCAGCAGTGGAATCACAGGGTCAAAAGGCAGATCCATTTTTAGTTTTCTGAGGAAGTTCCATACTGCTTTCCATAGTGGTTGTACCAGTCTGCAGTCCCACCAACAGTGCACTAGAGACCCCTTTTCTCCACAACCTCTCCAACACTTGTTGTTTGTTGCTTTGTTTATGATGGCCATTCTGACTGGTGGGAAGTGGTATCTCATTGTGGTTTTAATTTGCATCTCTCTGATAGCTAGCGATATTGAATATTGTTTCATGTGTCTTTGGATTTTCTGTATGTCCTCCTTGGAGAAGTGTCTGTCCAAGTCCTTTGCCCATTTTTTAATTGGATTCCTTGTCTTCTTAGAGTGCAGTCATGTAAGTTCTTTATATATTTTGGAGATTAAACCCTTGTCTGAGGTATCATTGGCAAATATGTTTTCCCATACAGTTGGTTCTCTTTTAATTTTAATACTGAAAATACACAGATCTTAAGTTTACTCTTTTGATGACTATTGTATACACCCATTAACAAACATTCTAATCAATATACAGAATAGTTCCATCATCCCAGAAAGTTCCCTCTTACCACTTATGAATTAATTCTCACTCCAGAGATGACCACTGATCTGCTTTCTATCATTATAGATTGTTTTATTTATGCTTGGCATTTTCCATAATAATAATTTTAAAACATCAAATTTGTCAGTAAAAAAGAAGGAAATCTTACTCTTTGTGACAGTATGGATGGACCTAGAGTACATTGTGCTAAGTGAAATAAGCCAGTCAGAGAAAGACAAATACCATATGATCTCATATATGGAATCAAATGAACAAAAGTAAACTAACAACCAAAATACAGACAGACTCATAGATGGAGAAGAGACTGACAGCTATCAGAGGGGAGGAGGATTGCAGGGCTGGATGAAAGGTGAAGGGATTAAGCTATAACAAAACAAAAGAAAACAACTCATAGACACAGACAACAGTATGGTGGTTACCAGAGGGAAAGTGGGTGGAGGGAGGTAGTAGAGGGCATAATGGGTTAAACAGTGATGGAAGGATACTTGACTTTGGGTGGTGAACACACAATACAGTATACAGATGGTGTGTTATAGAGTTGTACACCTGAAACCTATATAACTTTATTAACCAATGTCACCCCAATAAATTCAATTAAAAAGTTAAAAAAAGAACTCTTGGCAGGGGAGTGGGGCTGGAGATTAAGTTATTAAGTTTAACCACCAATGATTTAATCAGCCATGTCTATGTAATAAAACCTCCATAAACACCCAAAATGATGGGTTTTAGAGAACTTCAAAGCCAGTAAACATATAGAAATTTGGAAAGAGTGGTACACTCAGAGGGCATGAAAGTTCCACATCCTTTCCCCATAACTTGCCCTATGCATCTCTTCCACCTGTTAAATAAAATGTTTTCTGAGCTCTGAAAAAAATCAAATTTAATGTTTTAAATAGGTAAGTTGAAGGTTAGAAGAATTGATGAGATAACATCTTCATAAATTAATATTTAGCAAATGGAGGTGAGGCATTCTGTATACAAAATTCAGAAAGTGTAATATGTATATTCAAGTTTATGCTATATTGGGGAGCCATCTGATAATTAATTCAAATATCCTGGATCATCATAATTCATTATAGGACATTCAGGGGAAAAAAGCAAAAAAGAAAAAGGCATTTAATTTAGCATCAATTTACTATGGCATAGTCACCAAATGCTAAAGGTAAAAGACTTGCTTTTGCTTATCAAATAAGGTGCAATAGAAAACATTCTCAGACAAAGTTGAGGTTTGCTGTTAACAGACCTCCACTACAGAAAACTCTAATAGGTATTTTTCAGAAAATGATCCTGGAAGGAATGCAGAAAGGAATAAAGAGCAATCAAGGTGGAGAATATGGGAGTAAAACAAAATGAATGTATACAGCAAAAATTTGCATGTGTGTGTGTTTATACACATAAACATCATTATACATCAATATATTTTGAATTACAATATATACATTATGCTCATGTATATGAGCAAAGTTTCTATTAAAAGATTAACTTTCAAAGATAATTTATTGGGGAAAACCATAAAATATTATTGAAGGTCAAAAAATATGCATTAAAAATAAAAAAGGCAAACCACATTCATGAATGTAAAGGTTTAAAGCCATTTTATACTTTTCTGATTGGCAACAATTTGAAAGACTGATAATAAGTATTGATGAATACATGGGAAAATGTAAATTTTTTCTCCAACTGCTCATTAGATTGTAAATTAGTACAATTTGGAGGGAAATTCAATTCTTATTTTTTATTCACTGATTTGAGAAAGGAAAAAACATTCATTTGTTATTCCACTTATTTATACATTCATTGGTTGATTCTTATACATGCCCTGATCAGGGATTGAACCTGCAACTTTGGCATATTGGGATGATGCTCTAACCAACTGAGCTAACTGTCCAGGGCTCAATTATTTAATAAAGTTGAAAAACTTTTATGTTAACTAGAACCCAGCTAGGGGACAGAAGCCTTATCAGTTATTTTAATAGAAAGAACTTACTATGAAGAATTCTTAACTGATTATGAAGTTATTAATCACATAAATGAAAAGTCAAAAAGAGAACATTAAAGTTATCATGGAGGTAGCAACTTCACAAAGAAGCCAGGCTGGAGTAGTAAGGGAAGAAAAGAATCCATTAAAAATTAGAAGGTTGGGGGAGGGGGTCTCATGTGGCTAGGACTCATACCTCTAGTGGCACCAGCCAGATGCTGCTAATGACTCTAGAGGATTAGGGGACCATAAGGCTGTTGTGTGAATGGTGGAAAGCTGCAAAGTGGATTAAACTGCTGCTACTCTGAGGAACTGCTTACTGCCCCAGTGAAGAAGTAATGCCAGCCTGACACTCAGATAAACAGGGAGGCCCAAAAGGGAGCAGCTGACAAGACAGAAATGTGCTTTGTAGAGTCATGGCCCCACATCACAAAACACAGTATAGAAGGATAGGTTTGGAGCTAGTGCACAGTAGCTTAAGCACACCTCCTATACCCTATGACCAATCAGTTTCACTTCTAGATTTAGACACTAAACACAGAGACATCACAAATGCCTTTCACTAGGGGAATGAAGACAAATGAATAAACCAGATCTATATTTATCAATATGGATAGATCCTAGAAAGGAAACATTTTGTGAAAAAAAAAAAGAAAGTTGTGGAAGTTTAAACATAGTGTGATATCATAATTAAAGTTTTTACACAGACACAGAAAGACAACAGCATGATGGTTACCAGAAGGAAGGGGGGTGGGCAGGAGTGAAGGGTAGAGGGAGTCAAACATATGGTGATGGAAGATGATTTGACTTTGGGTAGTGGCCACACAATATAATATACAGATTATATATCATAGAAATGTACACTTGAAATCTATATGATCTTATTAACCAATGTTACCCCAATACATTTAATAAAATAAAAAACAATATATCTATAAATAAATAAACTTTTAAAAAGCAATATATCATTCTATATTGCAGAATTCATACTATATTTTAAAAACTCAGGATACATTAAAATTCTAAACACTGAAAGAAAAATTTTAACTTTGGAGGAAAGTATAAGAGAAATACTATCACCTTGAAACTGACAATATTAAAACATAAAACTTGAGCAGAAAAAAAGAGTTAACAAAATTCAAGAACCACTCATAGTCTGGGAGCTCTTTGCAACACACATGACTAAAAAAATTTTATAGTCTCATATATTAAAAAACAACAACAAATAACATTTCAAACAAGAGGTAAGCCTGACTGGCATGGCTCAGGTGGTTGGGGATCATTTCGCAAAGCAAAAGGTCACTGGTTCGCTTCCCCATCAGGGCACATGCCTAGGTTGTGAGCCAGGTCTCTGGCTGGGGTGCATGTGAGAGGAAACCAATTGATGTTTCTCTCTCCCATCAATGTTTCTCTCCCTCTCTTTATCCCTCCCTTCCCCTCTCTCTAAAAATAAATAAAGTCGTTTAAAAAAACCCAAGAGGTCAAAGATAAACTGCCCATTAGAAAACAATGAGGAGTCCTAGCTGGTGTGGCTCAGTGGATTGAGTGTTGGCCTGTGAACCAAAGGGTTGCCAGTTCAATTCCCAGTCTAGGATACATGCCTGGGTTGTGGGCCAGGTCCCCAGTAGGGGGCACACAAGAGACAACCACACATTGATGTTTCTCTCCTCTTTCTCCCTCCCTTCCCCTCTGTCTAAAAATAAATAAAATCTTTTTAAAAAGAAAAGAAAACAATGAGCAAAAGGATATGAATAGAGGATCAGAACAAAAACCCAAATAGCCAATCAACAGAGAGGAAGATGTTCAACTTCACCACTAATTAAGAAAATCCAAATGAAAGAAAAACAACAATGAGCTATCCCCTAAGGGGATCAGGACATATTTTCACACCAATGTAGGAGTCAAACTGTAACAGGTGCATTCTGTGTGCTCTGGTGATCAGATGGTCCAAACGGGCTTGATCAAATGATGAGGGGAGTCTTCACAGAGAAACTTTCTCCACAGCATAAGGCAAGCGCTGACCTATGTGCATTCTCTGATGTTCTGTGAGGTGTGCTTTGCGGCAAAAGGCTTTCCCACATTCTTGACATTCAAAGGGTCTCTCTCCTGTGTGAATTCGCTGATGTTCAATAAGACGTATTTTCAAATAAAAGGCATTTCCGCATTCACTACACTCATAAGGTTTCTCTCCTGTGTGAGTTTTCTGGTGTTGACAAAGGGATTTCTTCATACTAAAGATCTTTCCACATTCACCACATTCATAAGGTTTCTCTCCTGAATGCATTCTCTGATGTTCAATGAGGCGTGCTTTAACATAGAAGGCGTTACCACATTTATTACATTCATAAGGTTTCTCTCCTGTGTGAATTCGCTGATGTATCCCAAGAGATGAGTGCACCCTGAATGATTTTCCACATTCATTACACTGATAGGGTTTTTCACCTGTGTGAGTTCTCTGATGATTATTGAGAGTAGTCCTCATTCTAAAGAATTTCCCACATTCCTCACACTTATAGGGTTTCTCACCTGTGTGAGTTCTCTGGTGTTGATTTAGGGATTTCTTTGCACGGAAGTTTTTCCCACAGTCACCACATTCATAGGGTTTCTCCCCAGTGTGAGTTCTCTGGTGCTGGGTAAGGGATATTTTAACACGAAATTTTCTCCCACATTCCCTACACTCATAGGGTTTCTCCCCTGTGTGAGTTCTCTGATGAATTGTGAGGGTTGCCTTCTCAGAAAAGGTTTTCTTACATTCAGTACATTCATATGGTCTCTCTCCTGTGTGTGTTCTCTGATGTAGAATGAGTTGTGACTTCCTACCAAAAGATTTCCCACATTCATTACATTCAAAGGGCTTTTCCCCTGTGTGAGTTTTATGATGAGCAATGAGGTATGATCTTGCACTAAAGGTTTTTTCACAGTCATTACATTTATAAGGTTTCTCCCCTGTGTGTACTCTCAGATGTTCAATAAGGTTTGATTTCCTACAGTAAGTTTTCCCACATTCATAACAGTCAAAGGTTTTATCTCTTGTATGTGTTCTTTTATGTCCAACAAAGCCCATTTTCTTGTACAAGACTTTCCCATATCCACTATATTCAAGAGTTTGATCCAAAATTTGAATCTTCTGATGCTGAAGAAGGTCATTATCATGCCTGAGGGCATTACCCCCAACAGAATTGTTGCCACACAGCAGTGAAAGAGATCCTTTTAAAACAAATTGGATCATATCACTCACTCAAAACCCAACATGGCTTTCCTTGTCACAATACAAAATTAAGTTGCTTAACACAGCCTATAAAACTCTACATAATTTGGCCTCTAGCTAATGTTCTGATATTACCTCTTAACACTCTCACCACCCACACTTAAGCTACACTGTCCTCTTTGCTATTGCTAGGATATATCACTCAGACTAGGCTTGGCACTTACTGATCTCTGTGCCCAGAATATTCACAACCTACATGGCTACATCTCTTTCACTTCACTGATATTGGTGCAATGATGTTAACCTTACCAGAAAGTCTTCCCTGACCACATTCCTTAAAAGTTCATATCTTGTCATTGGCTATCCTTCTTATCCTACATTGATTTTCCTTTCACTGCCAACCATTATGTATTTGTTTACTTCTGGTATATTGCCCTCATGTAGAATTGCAAGCTCCAGGAGAAAAGATATTAGTTTATTCATGCTGGACCCCCAATACCTGGAACATAACCAGCATATAGTTGACACTCATGAATGTATGAATGAATGCCCACAACAGAAGGCATCCAAGGCAACAGAAAGAAGGAAGGCACTGAGAATACTAAAGAGAGACTAGGTAAGGATAAATGTCTAAGATGAGGCAGGCAGAGATTGATAAGTAGTAAATAACCACAAAAATCAAGATAAAATAGGAAAGAGCACTTAAGTGTGTACATGATATTGGGATATGTGATTTAGGCATCTGGAGCATACAGCCCTCTGTCCTCCAGTCATTTTCAAAGAACAAGGGCCTCTAGAGAAAGATTCCTGAAAAATACTGCCAAAAGGTAACCTTAGACCTGAATTTCTAGGCTCTTATCTCCCCTATTATCCATATGTCCAGTTCTTGCTCACTCACCTGGGTAACCATGGCCTGAGGATTCCTCCTCTAATACCCAGAACTCTTCTCCTTGCTCCAGCTTGAAGATCATCTCTGGTTTGGCCACGCAGAGGCCTGTTAATGGGAAATGGCACAGGACATGGGCCAACTTGTCTGAGCTTTAGGGCCTCTGATGGAGGAGGAAGGTGCATCTTCATGAGCTGCACAAGGAAGGGGGCCCATTTAAACCTTTCAGCGGGGGAAGTAAGAACATACACACTCTTCCTGGTGCCCCAAACTGATCAATCATCTGTGATCCTTGAATCTAAAGCTAAAGTATCATTAAACTTTACAAAGGCTGTACACATACAGCAACCGAAAAAGGAAACACATGATACAAGGAGTTACATGGACAATAATCCTCACCTACAGATGCCAAGTTGCTGTAGTTCTCTAGCATCACATCCTTGTGCATAGTCCTCTGAGCAGGGTCCAGTTGCTGCCACTCCTGTCGAGTAAAATCCACAGCCACGTCCTCAAAAGACACAGATCCCTGTAACAACAATCTGCAATGATCAGAATGGGACATATGGAAAAGATGTTGGGGAATTAATTATGTCAATAGCACTATTGAGAATTGACTAGGACAACTACACAAGGCACATCTCCCTGTATTGCTTGATATTATACTTTGTGGGGGCAGAGGGACCCAGAATAGCCCTGCTTCTATGTTACTTTATCAATTCATGAAGAAAAGACTACATAGTACTGAGTTAACACTAAGCACTTTAACCTGCCCCAGTTGCTGGGGAAAGAAAAAGGAAAAAGGAGGAGTGCCTACTCTCAAGGAGCTTATACCCCAGTAAGGATACTTGTATATGAACACATATACAAGTAATGAGCTGTGATGAGCTGTTACAGGAGCTATACTGGATATGTATACAGGGTGCAATGGGCTTTCACCAGAGAAGGAACCAGATTGCATTTTGTGTTATGAGACTGAACTTCACTTGGGGAGGTAGCACTTTGAATCCTTAAATGAGAATATCATTTCTCTCATGAATATGGGGCAATAACATAAGAAAAGGCAGGAAGACACAAACCAAAGATAGTGAGTTATAGAATTATGTAGCACAGTATGACAGGAAAACAGTGCTTCAAGCTGTGATGAGATAAAAGGCTACAGCAGCAATTTCAACTGGTGTGCCACAAGTATTTTTAAAACATGCAATACCTGACTATTTTAGTCAGGAGCACTGACCTCTTTTTCCTTAGACTATCAAATAAAAAATGAAAACAGCAATACAATAGCCATCCAGTGTGAATGAGCCAAATTATACATATTTTTCTCAGATTGGCAAAAAAAAATTTTGGTGTGCTGCAGAATTTTAGTTATTAGTTCATGTGTGCCATGAGATGAAAAAGGTTGAAAATTGCTGGGCTATAGAGACATTGAGGGGCCAGACAGTGGAGGAATTATCAACTTTTTTTTCTATAGATCATCAGTCTCCAAAATACTTGACTCCCTATACCATCAGAATATTTTCTGACCTTCTCACAATATATTTATATTTATAAGTTACACAGAATAGTATCAAGTGGGAAAAAGGGAGACTATATTAGTCCCAGGATAATGGCATGAGCAGCTGAGTTGAGGCTGGTGCCATATATTGAGATTAGCAAAACAGGAAAGAACAAGGGTAGGCAAAAGGAGAAATTGAGATAGATCTTGGACTTGAACTAGAGTGTTTGTGCTACATACTAATAGAGACGTCCAGCTGGCAGGTGATTCTGGAGCTCAGAAGAGAATGCTAAGATAGACCAATAATTGCAAATACTGAAGAAGGCATGCTAATACTGAAATATGCTAAGAGTAGATTTCAGGTGCACTTAGCATACAAAAACGGGTAACTATGTGAGGAGACATGTTAATTAGCTTAACAACAGTACCCATTTCACTATGTTAATATATGCATATCAAGTCATCATGTTGCATACTTTAAATATATACAATTTGGGGTGGGGACTAAGGAAAGGTTTATTAAAGGTTTATTGATCAAGGAGGCACCAACTGAGAAGATAGGAGCCCTAGTGGTACCTCAAATCCATCTTCAGAAAGTACAGACTTCAATTTTTTTCTAGTATTTTCTCTACTAAAAAAGAGAAATAAAAATACAGACTTCAGGCTTCACTTATGTCAAGGAAAGGAAAAATGGGAGGAGCTGTTTTTGTAGAACTCAAGCCACAGGCAAAATTCCTCTAATGATTAACCTGTCTACGTGCAAGACTAAGCAGAAGCTATCAGCCTGAGGGCCATGGGAACAAAGCAGGCTTAAATAAGATGGAATCAGAGAGAGACTAAGCTTTCACTTTGTTACAATCTCCCCCTTTTTTGTTTATTCCTCCATCTTGAGGGAAATAGGGCAATCAGTAAATATATACAATTTTTTATAAATAAATAATAAGAAGAAAGAAAAAAGGGTTAACTAAGTATACTATAAAAGAGTATTAACTCAAAGGTAACCCCAGCATAAAAATATAAACCTTCTTAATTACAAAAAAAAAAAAAGTAGAAGAAACACTCAAGAGAGAAAGAAACACAGTAAATATGATGAGGTCTGTCCGGGAAAAGTCCAGCCATTATTAATATAATGAGATTGGTTTGTATGACATTGATGTAACCTGGCAGCCAAGGACAGTGGACTACAATGTGCATGTGTGAAGAATGACAACTTCACTGAACTCGTCAGTGGGGGCAGTAGATGCTATTGAGTGAGCATGTGTATTGTATGGCCGTCACATTCAAAATGAGCATGTAAACCAATGAATCTGCATCAGATTTTAGGTCAACCTTGAACATTGTTCTGCAAAAGCTATTTGGATGATTCAGAAGGCCATGGCTATGGGCAACTGGTGATTGGCAGCTTCATTACAACAACACACCCACTCATGCATCATGTATCATGCACACTTTTTTGGCACAACATCAAATCGCCCAGGTGACTCAGCCCCACTACAGCCCAGATTTGGCACTCTGTAACTTCTGGCTTTTCCCAAAACTAAAATCACCTTTGAAAGGGAAGAGATTTCAGACCATCGATGAAATTCAAGAAAATATGATGGGGCAACTGGTGTCAATTGGGAGAACTGTGGGAGGTTCCAAGGTGCCTACTTTGAAGGGAACTGAGGTGTCATTGTCCTATGTACAATGTTTTTTGTACCTTTTATCTTCTTCAATAAATGTCTCTATTTTTCATAGTACATGGCTGGATACCTTCTGGACAGACCTCTTATAACAAATACACATAGTAATTACAAAATATTTAAATGAGAAAATTGAGACCAAACATATTTGTATTATTTATATTACCAAATAGTAATACAAATAAATGTGTATGGGCTTACCTCACCTATTAAAAGAAAAAGGTTTTCCCATTGCCTCATAAAGCAGAACCCAACACCATGCTATATATACAAGAAACAAGCTTAAAACACGGTCATTCAAAAAGGCTAAAATTAAAGAAATGGACAAAGATTTACCAAATTAAGACAATATAAAAGCAGGGATTAAAATCCTGATAACAAACAAAGTAATATCTGAAAGTAATTATATCATACAAAGTAATGTTTATCAGCCTTTGTAATGTTAAAAACTTTGTCCACAATAAAGATATAACAATAAAGACATTTGTGAATACCTATGCACAAAGTAACACAGCAAAATCCTATATTAACCAAAACCTACAGGAATGCAAGAAGAAATAGAAACATTCTCGAAAGGGAGACTTTTAACATACTAGATTAAGTGGACAAAAAAAATGTTATCCTATAAAAGACCTAAAACAACATAATCAATAATGTGGAACTTCTATTTTTGTAATATGTTTATTGATTTTAGAGAGAGAGGAAAAGGAGGGGAGAGACAGACAGAGAGACATTTATATGAAAGAAAAACATCAACTGGTTGCCTCCCATACATGTCCCAACCAGGTATGAAACCCACAACCTAGGTATGTGCCCTGACTGATAATTGAACCTGCAACCTTGTGGTATATGGGAGGCTGCTCCAACCACCTGAGCCATACTGGCCAGGGCAACAATGTAGATCTTTTAGATGTGTGTGTGTGTGTGTATGAGGGGGGACCGAAAAAATCGAATTTATTTATTAAAAATTGTGTTTCTATTCTTACAAGTTTAAACTTAAGTCACCTTCAAAGTACTCTCCATTTGATGCAATACACCTATCAAGACATTTTTCCCACTGTTTAAAATAGTTTTTGAACTCATCAATTTAATGCCTTTTAGTGCTTCTGCCATTTTTTTGTTTCACCTCTTCCACATCAGCAAAATATTTCCCTTTGAAGACTTTTTTTATCCAGACAAACAAAAAGTTGCTGGAGGAAAGATGAAATGAATAGGGAGGTTGGGGCATGGGGGGCATGCTGTGTTTGGTCAAAAACTGCTGAACAGTCATTGCAGTGTGGGCAGGTGTGCCCATTAATCACCCATCTTGAAATGAGCGAACAAATTGAAAGAGTTTTCAGAAAAAAAATCACTGAAACTGAATGCAGCCTCTCACAACAATGCCAGCTAGTAAACTGATACAGATGGGTCCCTAGAACACTTACCTAGCAGGGGAAGCCTGTATTACAAGGGGCCTACCCTCTAGAATGTAATTCTAGTGTTTTTTGGTGATATATATATATATATATATATATATATATACCCCAAAATAGATATATAATATATATATAAAACATATAAATATATATTTATATATTTATATAAATATATAAAAACAACTATATATATTATATATTTATATTTTATAATATAATATATAGTTGCATATATAATACATTATATAAACTATATAATATATAGTTTACTATATAATATATATATATAGTTGTTTTTATATATATATAACACTACATAAATATCTACTCACTGGGTTGTACACCTGAAACTAATACAGGGGTGGGCAAAAGTAGGTTTACAGTTATTTGTATGGAAAATAGTACAATAATTAATAAGTAATAATATAAGAATAAACTGTTTCATTTACTTACAATTGTAAACCTAGTTTTGTCCACCCCTGTATAATATTGCATGTCAACTGTAATTGAAAAAATAGAAATTATTTAAATGTTAGAATTGGATATTGATTTTGAAAAATCTCTAGGAATTAAATCAATGTATTTCATTTGTTTTTTTTATGTATGTATAATAGTGAACTTGATTAAAATCTATGTTTAAAAATCAAAAAACTGTGATACATTTACACAATGGGATACTATGCAGCAGAAAGAAAGAAGGAGCTCCTACCCTTTGCAACAGCATGGATGGAACTGGAGAGCATTATGCTAAGTGAAATAAGTCAGGCGGTAAAAGACAAATACCATATGATCTCACCTACAAGTGGAACCTAAACAATAAAACAAGCAAGCAAAATATAACCAGAGACATGGAAATAAAGAACAAACTGACAGTAACCAGAGGGGAAAGGGGAGGAGGATAACAAGGCAAAGAAGGGGAGGGGTCATCAAGGAACATGTATAAAAGGACCCATGACCAGACAACAGAGGGTGGAGGATTGAATATGGAAGGTGGGGGTGGGTATGATGGGAGAGAGTAATGGGGGAAAAGGGGACAAATGCAATTAAACAACAATACAAAAAATAAAAATAAAACTAATAAAACCCTACACCTGGATCATACAAAATATACTGGGTACTTTTTCTCAAGTACCTATGGAACATTCACAAAAATGGAACATATACTAGTGTACAAAAACAGCAATCTCAGTAGGTTCCTTAAAATAAAAATATTACAAACAGCACTGATCACACACACACACACACACACACACACACACACACACGAGACAAAACAGAGTCTAGAAGTGACCCACACATGTATGGTCAATTGATGTCTGAGAAAGGTATCAAGGATATTCAGTGGGGAAAGACTACTCTCTACAACAAATGGCTCTGGAATAATTGGACAGTCATATTGAAAAAAAAATCATTGTTCTCAAGTATATTTACTGAACTGTTAAGCATAAAATGATCTCCAAAAGATAAGATTATGATGAATTTTCAAATATAAAAATTTCTATTTTTCTCATCAGGTAGTCAAGGTAATATCTATCAGGTCACTCCATTGTAAAATCTCCAATTTGCCCTATGCAATTAATGTGCAATCTGTGGGGACATACCATAAGACTACATAAATAATTTGTTCTTCATTAAACTTTTAACCAATAGCTTTGGCATCCACCTACGATTTTTGCTTGGCTCAATGGTTGTAAAATGTTTTTGTTTTTTTTTAAATAAGATTTTATTTATTTTTAGAGAGGGAAGGGAGGGAGAGAAACATCAATGTGTGGTTGCCTCTCACATACCCCCTACTGGGGACTTGGCCCGCAGCCCAGGCATGTGCCCTGACTGGGGATCAAACCAGCAACCCTTTGGTTCACAGGCTCATGCTCAATCCACTGAGCCACACCAGCCCAGGCTATTTTTCCAACTTTATCATTCTTTCCACATTAGTAATTGTCATTAGGCATTAAGGAAGAGCTTTCCCTTCTCTGTTGTTTGTTCATTTATTATGAGTATGGACTCATGGTTTATCTTGGTCTCCAGCCAGGGATCCAAGGTCATGTGTGGGTTAAATGGCCAGGGAGTAGAAAAGAAACTTTTCTGTAACTCTTTGATACAGAAGAACAATACACCAGTTGATGTATTAAGATACAATAGCTGACGGGATTAAGGTAAAAATTATGATGAAAATGGGAATGTTTGAATGAATTTTATGTGAAGTAGTTACATATCTTTCATTTAGATGTATTATTGATTTGGATACTATGTCTGACTGGGAAACACTTCCATCTAGTATTGCAAAAAAAGCAATGTAAGTTTACCCTTTGGCCCATATTATTTGCACATGATAAATGAGAATCTTTAGAACTGTCCAAGTCCATCCATACAAGTTTTTATTTTGAAGCAGTATAGAATACATGATGGACGAAAAGAGATTACCACTTTAATTAATGACATGTCAGAAGCTGGAGTGCTGGTCCAACAAATTCTCTTTAGAATTCTCTTTAGAATAGACTTGTGTGGCCTATGAAAAAGATGGATGGCTCAGAGAGACTAACAAGACTTACATAAATTAGTATTGCATACAGCATCAGTAGTTCCTGATATGGTTCAACAGTGAAAATACAGGAAACTAAAGGAGTCTGTTTCTCACTGACTGATCCTGCAAATGCTTTTTTCTCTATCACATTATTGGAAATCAGTCAACTGCCATTTGCTTTCACATGGGAAGGATCCAAATTTACATTTATTGTACCGCCAAAGTAGTATTTGAATTCAACAGTTGTCATAATTCAACTGTCATAATTTGGTTAGAAAAGATTTGAACTTGATGCAGGTCCAAAGTATAGCAACAGACTTCATTGATGACATCATGATAATATCAGAAACTGAAGCTCAAGCTAGACTGACTTAAATGCAATAGTGACACACATTTATCAACTGAAGCTTGTTGATAAATGCAATAAAAATCCAAGGGCCCAGGGAGTGAAGAAGTGAAATTCGTAGGAATAATACCCTGGGTAGGAGCCGCCCATGACACTCCAGAACCGAAAATAAACTGCTATTGTTGCCTACCCCTGGTACGAAGCAAGAAACAACACCTGATCAGTTACTTGAATTTCACAGGATACACATTCCATATCTGTGAATATCACTAGCTCCTCTCCATAAAACTACATAAAAGAGGTCATATTTGGATAAGGTCCTGAAAAAAAATAACCTATCTCTGAACAACAATCCACAACAGCTCACCCTGGATGGTGTGGTTCAGTTGGTTGGAGTTTTGTCCCATAGACCAAAAGGTTGCGGGTTCAATCCCAAGTCAGAGGGTGTACAAGAAGGCAACCAGTTTCTCTCTCATATTCTCTCTCACATTCACTCTTTCCCCTTCTCCCTTCCCTTCTCCTTCCCTCTCCCTCTCTCCCTCCCTCCCCTCTCTCCCCTCCCTCCCCTCCCTCCCCCTCCCTCTCCCCCTCTCTCCCTTGCCTTCTATCTTTCTCTCTAAAAGCAATGAAAAAATGTCCTCAGGTGAGGATTAAAAAAAAGCAATAGTTCTCTTGATGCCTTTGGACACTCATGCATGATCCACACTTAGATATGATTCTTGAAGTGTGTGCAACTTGGACTAACGAAGATGGGAGCCCAGTAGGCTCATGACCAAAATGACCACAGTGATAAGGATGGAGGTTATGCACAGATTTAACAACATGGACTTCCAGTCACCAAGGGTGACCTGGCTACCCTGGCAGAGAGCCTAATTTGCCAACAGCAAAGAACAACACTGAATCCCTGATATGGTACCATTCCCCAGGGTGATCAGCCAGCTATCTGGTGGCAGGTTGATTCCATTGGATTATTTCCATCATGGAAGGGGCAGCACATTGTTCTTATTGCAATAGACAGTTACTCTGGATATGGATTTGCCTCCCCTGCATACAGTGCTTCTGCCAAAACTGCCATCTGTGTTCTTCCAGAATGCCTTATCTACCATGATGGCATTCCACACAGCATTGCTTCTGATCAAGAAACTCACGCCACAGCAAATGAAGTGCAGCAATGGGTCCAATCTCATGGAATTCACTTGTCTTACCATGTTCTCCACCATCCCAAAGCAGCTGGCTTGATAGAATGGTGGAATGGCCTTGTGAAGACTCAAGTAGGCCTTTGAAACAACATGGAGTTCCTGCAGGTCCTGAAGAATGAACTGCAGAAGTCAGTGGCCACAGTAGCTTCTGCAGCTATATGCAAATTTTCTTCAGGACAAATCCTGTTGGTACATTAGTGGGGGAAGACAAAAATGAAAACGAATACTATGGAGACAATAAGCAGTTGTTTGGTTGTCACCAATATGTTATATACACAGTATTTCTCCCCCCCCTTATCCACAGGATACATGTTCTAGGACCCCCCAGTGGATGCCTGAAACCACAGACAGTGATATAGCCACGAGCCAAAGAACAACTTGAATTGCTAGAAGGTAGAAGAGGCAAGGAAGGATTCTCCTCTAGAGCCTTCAGAAGGACCACGGCTCTGCCAACACCTTGATTTCAGACTTTTGGCCTCCAGAACTATAAAATAATAAATATTTGTTGTTTAAAGCTAAGTTTTTGGTCATTAGTTATGGCATACCTGGAAACTAATATTAATTGTATTGGGACATGAGGTACTGTAATAAATACCTAAAATGTGGAAGTGATTTTGGCTTGGGATAATTTGTAGAATCTGGAAGAATTTTGAGGCATGTGACAGAAAAAGCCTAGATTGCCTTGAAGAGACTATTGGAAGAAACATGGACATTAAAGGCACTCCTGCAAAGGCCTCAGAAGGAAGTGAGAAAGACAGTAGAGGAAACTTCTATCATCTTAGAGAATATGTGTATCATCATGAGCAGAATGTTAATAGAAGTATGACCATTAAAAGTGCTTCTATGGTGAGATATCAGATGAAAATAAGGAACATGTTATTAGAAACTGGAGGAAAGACTACCCTTGTTATATAGTGGCAGAAAATATGACAGATTATGTTCTATGGTTGTGTGGCAAATAGAACTTATATGGAATTAACGGATATTTAGCTGAGAGATTTTCAAGCAAAATATTGAAGGTATAGCCTGGTTTTGTCTTGCTGCTTATAGTAAAATGTGAGACAAAAGAAACATATTAAGGAAGAAACTATTAAGAAAAAAGGAACCAACACTTGATGATTTGGGATATTCTTGGCCAACCCATATTGTAAAGAATGCTAAAATTAGAAAATTCAGTGTTACTAACTAGTGTTATGGAGAAAAAGTCAAGAGTATGGCTAGAGATTTTTTTCCTGAAGATATTAGGTATGTGACTCCTGGACTTACTGAACCATCTAGGAATAGAGATGGGATTATCTAGTAAAGATCTCTTGTCTCATGGGGACATACACAAGACAGCTACAAGGCTTTTGAGAAACATTGCATGCCTGAACTGAAAGGGACAGACACTGGACGAAATGAAAGAAGGCTGTCAGGCTCCCAAAATTTTGCAGGTAGGAAACCTTCTGATGGAACTACTTAGCTGTAAACATATGCTACTTTGCAAAAAAGGAAGAATGACTTCAAGGGCAGAGCCTTGGGTGCAGTCAGAGGGTGGAGATGCAGGCCCAGAGGTGGAGACCAATGGAATAGTAGGCAGTGCAGGGGTTGAAAGTGTTGCCACAGACACAAAAGATGGAGCCACCACAGCCCCAAAGGGCAGAGAATTATGCCACAAAGAATTAGTTTCAGGCCTTGTGTATGGATGTAGTTGTGAAACAAAACTAACTCCATCTTTGTGTCCCTGATTTCTTTTCTACTCACATTTTTCATGCTGTGAACTCTGACCAACCTCTCTATTCTCAACCAGCATGCCAAAGCCTTACAGTTAATCATTATCTGTTTCTTAAACCTATACAATGTGGCTGTAAAGATTCTTGTCAGTAATTGGCCAGAATGGAATGACAACTGAGATAAATATCAAACCAGTGTGAGTGTCCATTCTAAGTAGTCATTATCACAAAACCACCAGGAGGTATGGTTCCTGGAACATACTGCATTCTTAGTCCCTTTGTGTTGTCAATCATTAATACCTAAGGTATACTATAAAAAATATACTGTAAAGCAGTCTGATAGCGAAGAATATCTGCTCATAATGTTGTGTCACCTATCCACTCCAATCCTATCCCTGTAAGGAACTTACCTTATAATAAATTCTTTTATGATCTGTGGAATTGGCTGCATCATATTTTTGGTCTCAAAAAACCCTTTCATTACAGTGGCCACTACACTGGTGTTCTACCCTCAGACACCTCAAAACCTAATGGAGCCCTGGCTGATGTGGTTCTGTGGATTGAGAGCTGGCCTGTGAACCAAAGGGTCACAGTTCAATCCCTGGTCTGGGGAGCATGTCTGGGTTGCAGGTCAGGTCCCCAGTAGGGGGAGCAGGAGATGGAACCACATATTGACGTTTCTCTCCCTCTATTTCTCCCTCCCTTCCCCTCTCTAAAAATAAATAAATAAATACACAAACAAATAAATAAATCTTAAAAAAAAGAAACCTAATGGAATTGCCATGCTGAACTGCATACTTGCTTTATTCCTTCCAATTTCTCCTTTTTGGAATGGGAATGTCTATTTCATGCCTGATATACCATTGTATCTTGGATAACCTGTTCTCTCATTTCACAGATTCGTAGATGGAAAGAAAGTTTGCCCCAGGATGAATCATACCCAGAGTCTCAACCCATCCATACCTGACTTAGATGATTTAAATAGTAAGATCAAGGGCTTTTTGATCTGATGATACTTAGATGAGATTCTGGACTTAGATTTGAAGCTATAATGGGTTAAGATTTAAGAATGTTGGGATGTGGTGAATTTATTTTGTATGTGTGACAAATTTGAATTTGGGGATTAGAGGATGGACTGTAATAGGTTCAATGGTAGCCCCCCCAAAATATGTCCACATGCTAACACCCAGATTCTGTGAACATTAACTTATTTGGGAAAATGATCTTTGCATATGCTGTTAAGGATCTTAAATTGAGATCATCCTGAATTACCTGGGTGGACCCTAAATCCAATGACAAGTGTCCTTATAACAGAACAGCAGAGGAGATGTGAGTGATGTTGTGGTTCCTAGGCACCATTCAGATCACCAGCACATTGCCCAAGATGAGCAACATGGTCTTCATGGTGTTTGTGACAGGTAATGAGGAGCAGTCTATACAGGTGGCTGCAAGTTGGGAAGATGACAAAGTGATAGAAGCATCCTTAAAAAGTTCTGTTGCAGCCTGGCTGGCGTAGCTCAGTGGATTGAGCGCGGGCTGCAAACCAAAGTGTCGCAGGTTCGATTCCCAGTCAGGTTACATGGCTGGGTTGCAGGCCATGACTCCTAGCAACTGCACATTGATGTTTCTCTCTATCTCCCTCCCTTCCGTCTCTAAAAAATAAATAAATAAAATCTTTAAAAAAAAGTTCTGTTGCTGTTAAAATCAATACCAAAATATACACTCACTAAAAGTTGAAACACCAGTTGCAAATGGGAACCAGTCAGAAAATTTAATCTGGCCCCTACTGGTGTGGCCCAGTGGGTTGGGCTTCACCCTGCATACTGAGAGGGCTCTCGTTCAATTCTCATTCAGGGCACATGTGTGGGCTACAGGCCAGGTCCCCAGTTGTGGGTATGTGACAGGCAGCCAATCCATGTTTCTCTTACACATCAATGTTTCTCTTCCTCTCTTTCTCCCTCCCTTACCCTTTCTCTAAAAATAAATTAATTAATCATATTTTTTTTAAAAAAGAATGTTTACTCTGTTTTCATTCCTCATTTGAATCCTATAACACTTCTAAAAACTCTCAGTCCAAATTTTGTGATACACAACCTTCCTCTCTTAATAGAAAATCATATATTTAAACAGGAGGAGAAAGTTCAGGACATGCTACTCCCTCTGAAAAGCCTACTAGATGTTTAAATAAGAGACCTATCCAGTTAAAAAGACTTATCTAAGAAAAAGAAGATCAACACTATGAACAGTAACATGACAACAAACTCACAAATATCAACAACTGAACCTAAAAAAAACAAAAACAAAAACAAAAACAAACTAAGCAAACAACTAGAACAGGAACAGAACCACAGAAATGGAGATCATATGGAGGGTTATCAGTGGGGAGGGGGAGAATGGGGGGAAAGGTACAGGGAATAAGAAGCATAATTGGTAGGTACAAAATAGACAGGGGAAGGTTAAGAATAGTATAGGAAATGGAGAAGAAAAAGAACTTATATATATGAACCATGGACAAGAACTGGCGGGGGGGGGGGTGCTGGTGGGAGGGGGAGTGCAGGGCAGAGGGGAATAAAGGGGAGAAAAAAATGGGACAACTGTAATAGCATCATCAACAAAATATATTTTTTAAAAGAGATACCTACACAGAACCTCACTGTCAGTGTGAGAAAACTAACCAAAACATTTGAAGGAAGAAAAGTGAAAGAACAAAGGAAGATTAAGAAGGAAATTGAGACATCCAGTCAAGATGAAGATGTACATACACACAACTTGCCTCCTCGCTAGGCAAGCTGTAATTTTTGCTAGACTAAAAAAAACAACTATCACCCAGAATAATCAGAAAATCAAGCTATATGAAGTCTGAGAACTAAGGAATTAAAGAAGTCACATCATCCAGATGAGTAGGAGGGGTGGAGATGCAGAGACGCTGAACAGGTGGTCCCACACCCATGTGTGGCAGATAAAAATTAGGAGGGATATCTCGGGAGTGAGAGATGCCAGCCCCACACCAACCACCTAACCCAGGGTTCCACTGCCAGGAGGATAAATCTCCGTAAACTCTGGCTGTGAAAACCAGTGGGGACTGGGGCAGAGGAAGAAACTGTGGAGTTCTTAGGAGTCTCCTTTCAAAGGGCCCACGACGTACTTTGGACTTACACACACTCACTCCCTCTGGGTTCCATCACTGGGGCAGCAGATGGAAGAGTACCAGTGGCACACAGGGAGAAATTGAAGTGTCTGGCATGAGAGTTAGTGCTGGGGGACAGCTTCTTCCCAGAGAAAACTCCAGAGGCCAGGCCACGGCCATTGTCCCCTTTCTGAGCCCTCCCCCACACAGAGCCACAGAGCGGTGACACCATATCTGAGACTCGAACAACCTGGTTCACATGGGTTGTCCTGCCCTGGTGATTACCTAAGGATCCACCCCATCCAACTTACTGGTATACTCTTCCACAACAGGCCATGCTACTA